TATATATATATACATATATATATACATACACACACACACATACATACATACACACTGTATTATACACTCAAATGGAACATGAGTCTCAAAATGTAAAATTAATAATGCATAATAGTGGGCACAACCAATGCTATTGTAAGAAAATATTGTTCGATAGAAGCCTGGATGGCACTGACCCCCAACACTGCATGCAAGTTGCAAGTTAAGCCACATTTACAACATAGCCCTCAAACAAAATTATCCGTACATATCATAATAAATATACTGTAGGTCTCCAATAAAGGTCTCCGTATCTTGGGTGTGATTGAAACATAGGCAATGACAAGAATGATTAGACAATAAAGAAGAGTAAAAAAAATCAATAGAAAGGAATCTCATCAGCCCAGATAAAGTGACATATGGGAGGCCTGACATTCACTGCAGTAATAACTTCTACAGCTCCAGCTGTGGTACATGCAAGATATATGTGTCACTCACTTGCAGCCAGTTCTAGTGCATTGTCCTCGACCAGAGCAGAATTTCAGGCAGGATGGGCCAATATAAACTGTAAGAGAGAAAAAATTTAGATGTCGGTTGATTTGTGGAGAGGGTGAAATGGATACTCTTATTGCAACTGAGAAGCTCATATTAAAAGATCCAGGACATGATAATTGTATTGAGCTATAACAGTCCACATTATCTAGTAGATTCACACAAGCACTCTTACATATGACCAATAAATTGTGTCTGCTTATCACAGCATTGAAGATAAGAATTATTTGGTACCTTAAGAGTAGACATGAGCTCTGGGTTTGTGTAAACATGAGTTTGACCTGAATTCAGCATGTTCACAGTTTGGCAAACAAGTAAACAAACTAGCCAGATTTTGCAAGTTTGCATGTCTGCAAGAGCCTCCAGCTGCGGGTCCCTCCGGGTCTGAGGCACACACTCAACAGCAGATTAGGTGGTCACAGTGGTGGAGGTATCTTGCAAGTCTGGGGCTGAATTTCTAACAATGGAATTGGAGATTTGGTCAGGATTAGAGATGGGAAGGGCTGGAACAAAAACCCTGAAAAACGCGAAAAAAAATGTTTTTTTTCTGTCTTTTTCAAAACCTGTTTTTGGTTTTTTTCTGGAAAAATTGAATTAAAAAAAAAGAAGTGTGGAATATGTTCTTTTACATACAATATATCTTTGACATGGTATTCAAACTACATAACATGAAGACCTTAATAAAAGATTTCTGAGACTTTATGAAAAGTCTTCAATTATTGCACTATTGCATTATTCTCTCAGCTGAAGACAAGCAAATCCTGGAATACAATTCAAGTACAGGCAGTCCACGGGTTACATATAAGATAGGGACTGTAGGTTTGTACTTAAGTTGAATTTGTATGTAAGTCGGAACAGGTATATTTTTTTATTTTAATGCTCTGAGCAATAGCCAGCCTGCTATTGGATATTTCAAATTGCAATAGCCAATAGCAGGCTGGTTATTGCATCTGCCCACTGCCTGCTGTCAATCAGCAGAGGAGGGGGCCTGAAGGAGAAAGTTCTCTATCAGGTCCTCCCATGCTGATTGACAGCAGGCAGTGGGTGGGGAAAGAGGAGGCCGGGACAGCAGCGGAGGTACGGGGGGCAGCGGTGCAATGCAGCGGTATGTGTCCCCGTGCCTCCGCCAACACAGGCGGGGAGAGCAGCGCGGATTTGAAGGGACACAGGCCGCTGCAGCCACAGTTCTCCTAAATGTACCGGCGGCTGCATTTCTGCCACTAGGGGCACTGCAGAGGAAAGACTCCAATTTAGTTAGCTTGCGGGCTCTATCTTATACTTCCTACAGTTGGGTGACTGTTGACATGATAGTAGATTATAGTTTCTGTCCTCTCAGGCCTTAATTGACAGGTAAGAGGGTACATTTGTCTGACAGTTTATCTTTATAACTTTTAAATGATTCCTAATAATGTTCTGCACCATCACAGTATAATGTTTACCTATAGTCTGCTCAGTAAATTGTTTTTTTTCCTCCTCTCAGTAAAATGGTGAGACCAACATCTAGGGGTTGATTTACTAACCTTATAAACACACCACGAACATGTATACACCTCTGTAGTGTGTTCCTTCCCAGCATGATCTATGGGTGGAATCTAAACACCTTTGTAGTGTGTACACACCCAGCAGGTGTGTTATGCAAAGCCAAGCATGAATTGCAAGGTGATGTTGTGTAAATTAGCTCTACATTGTGTTGCTTGCGTTGATTAATGCAGGAATGTAAATGCATGAGCTAACCATTTTTGTCTAAACTGTGAAGCAGCATTATATATGCATCATGTGCATGATTTTTCCATATGGCATTAGTGGAAATATGCTTTTAGAGACTTTTTGGTTGATAAATACGTTTTGCTGTGTGAAAATCACACGCACCTGGTGCGTGTGTTTAGGTTAGTAAATCACCCCCCTAGATTTTGGAAACATTTCCACAGTGCAACTTCTGCTGAGAGCAAAGCTGCAATTTGCAAATATTGTGAGAACTATTCTTTTCCAAATGCTACAAGGATGACAAAACACATCCTTGCATGCCACATGTGCCCTAAAGACATTAAAAATACTTTATGGAATTAAATGTGGAGAACCATAATGAAAGTGGAAGTAGCTTTTCTCTCAAGAGTTCTCATTCCAGAAAGTCTTTCTGCTGCTTCTGGATCAATACTAAGTGCTTCTTCACCAGCAGCATCTTCAAGTAAGGAGTAAAAAAATGTAAAAAGCAAGTTTAGTTTATTTACTGAATAAGCTGTACTTTAATTTCATGCATAATACTTTTATATACACTGCATTTCACGTTCCTAGTGTAACAAATTACTTTCAATTTGTAAAAATACTCCACACTGAATTTATTTAAATTTTTCAGAAAATTTCAATTTTTTTCTGGAAAAAAAAACAGGGAAATTTTTTTTTTTCTCATGGCTTTAAAATTTCCGGAAACTTTACATCTCTAGTCAGGATTAATGGTGTCCTTAATGCTGAGAAATACAAGCAGATACTTATCCATCATGCCATGCCATCAAGGAGGCGTGTGATTGGCCCTAATTTTATTCTGCAGCAGGACAACGACCCCAAACATACAGCCAATGTCCTTAAGAACTAAACATAAAGGATAACAAGGAGTCCAGGAAGTGATGGTTTGGCCCCACAGAGCCCTGATCTCAGCATCGAGTCTTTCTGGGATAACATGAAGAGACAGAAGGATTTGAGGCAGCCCACATCCACAGAAGATCTGTGCTTAGTTCTGCAAGATATTTGAAACAACCTACCTGCCGAGTTCCTTCAAAAACTGTGTGCAAGTGTACCTAGAAGAATTGATGCTGTTTTGAAGGCAATGGGTGGTCACACCAAATATTGATTTGGATTTCTCTTCTGTTCATTTACTTTCTATTTTGTTATATGATAAAAAATAAACTATTAACACTTTTATTTCTGAAAGCATTCTTACTTTACATCATTTTATCACACCTGCCTAAAACATTTGCACAGTACTGTATATACATTTCAACTGTGTACATAGCTGTTTGCCCAAACTTCAGTTTTAATGGTCCCCCAAGGAGAAGTATAATACTAGTTTGTTTAGTCGTTCTAACGTTAGAGAATATTGCTTTCAACTATTGGCATTTTTTTTCTACATGAAGAAAGAGTTCTTTTATTATTGTGCTTTATATACGTGAATAAAATGTACAACTGAACATTACCATGTCACCTCATGATGAGTAGAAGTAGCATCCAATGTCTATAGATCATAAAGGAACTTGTCATAACAGACAGATGCAGTGTCTTGTGTCTGTATAGTGCATTATACAACTGTATTATGATTATGTCATGCAGAAATGATGTAGCGTCCTATGTCTGCATTGTACATAAAAGAACTGCATTATGATCCCATCATTGGTCAAGTCATGGTAATCAGATGTAGCATCCAATGTCTACACACAGTATGATGCAACTCTACTGTGATCATGTCATGATAAATAACATTTTAAAAATAGTCATGCTGGATGATAAAATAATGTTATCAACGATAGCTCTGTAATTCTGCAAATTCATCCAGACACCTATATTGATTAATGTAGGACAGCAAATTGTATGCTTCTGAATTCTTTACAGTATTTTTCCATGTACTACAAGGCTACTAGCATTTAAGCTGTTAATTTGCTTTGATTGTGCCTTATTTTTGTTTGCGTCTTATTGATTCCTGTCTTTGGGTAGCCATGACTGTTCCCAGTGAAAATAAATCAATAAAATATGATTGTTTATTACCTCCCCGCCACATGGACTTTACAGACTGGAGCAGCTTGAATCCTTTCCTACTTTTCAGTATTGTTTTCAGTGAACCATAACTAGTAAGGCTAAAAAGTTGAAAAGCCATAAAGGGAACAAGCAGTACTCTCTCCCGTTGGAGGTTTTCCAACAAGTTGCAGACATGATTGTGTTGATGACACAATACTAATTAGATAGGGATGAGTATCCTCACTCGTCTTTCAAATGACTGTGACAGATGAGTAGATCTAACAATTCTATGAAAGATTAACTGAACTGTATTTATTCTCCTTCGAGAAGAGGCGATTTAGGGAGGATATGATCATGTATAAAACACAAATGGTCCATATAGTGAACTTAGTGCAGAGGTATTCAGTTTAAGGTCATTGCAAAGGCCAAAGGGGCACCCTTTGCATCTGGAGGAAAAGAGGTTTAACCTCCACATACAGAAAAGCTTCTTCACAGTAGAGATGGCCATACACTCATAGATTTTTTTTTTTTTGTTCAGCCCGCAGGCTGAACAAAGAAATCGATTGAATTCCTCCATCCATGCTAAGCAGTGTGGATTTTTAGCCCAGCACCTTCAACAAAAGTAGATTTAGGCTGGAATCATTGTGCTGCGGCTTGCTGGACATTGTTTCCAGCGCAGCCCCAATGTTAGTTAAGGCAATTTGCCTTGTTTCAAATGGACTTAGTTCACACCACCATGATGCAATGGTGTGCGCTGAAAAAAGTACTGCATGCAGTACTGTACTTTTTTTCAGTGCAGCAGCATCATACACCTCACTGTGCCCATACAGTCATGGCCAAACATTGTCTGTCTGTCAGATTGGCTTTTTTTTCTCCACTTTTTTGTGTCATACTAATACAAACAAAAGAAATGAACATGAGAATGCCTAAACATTTGTAATTGCAGCAATATTCTGCGCAAAGTGGTGCATTATCTGACAGAAATGCAGGGCAGCCAATATTTTTGGCCATAACTGTAGAACTTAATGAAATATCCCTTGTGACATTTTAATAACATTCTAACAAAAAAAAGCATTGTAGTGCAGCTGCTGGTGTAAATCGGCCCTAAGTAACCAACTGTTAGAATTTCAAACAATTCCTGTGAATCGGATGAAATTCTAACAGTGTATGGCCAGCTTAGGAGCTGTGAAAATATGGAATAGGCTCTGTGAATTTAGGAAAGCTGGATGTATTCCTAAATTCACAGAAAATAACTGGATATTAATATTTATAAGTAATGACACCAGAGAT